AATAAAAAATATTAAATTTTATACCTGATCTATTAAATAATAGGGGCAGTGAATTAATTTAAATAAAATAATCATTTATAAAAAAATTTAAATTCGATAATTCTTTAATTAAAAAATTTTTATTGAAAAAAGTTAAAAATTGAGGCAATGCCCGAGTTAAAAATTTTATTATTTTTCAACTTTTTCTTTTTAATTTTTCAATATTCCTCTTGTATTATTCAACACGATCAAATTTTCCATGTGGAATCTAATCATCATCATCATGAATCATCTGGCTCTAATATTAATTATCCTTTAATTAAATTAATAAAATTTGAATTGAAAAAATTGAAGTTGGAGACATTCGATTCGAACTTAGATGAAGATGAGCAGGAATATTTTACAAAAATTATTATAGAAATAAATGACGAATTAAAAAACAAATCTATTTATATTTCAGTATTTCATGACCCTTGCTGGAGCAGACAATCAACTAACAAATATAACACAAATAATGCAATTAGAGGCGAAAATGGAAAAAAACAAATGAGAATTGAAAGGGATTATACAGAGGATTTTAAGCTAGGAATTTTAATCTGCGGATTAGATGATCTTATAGGAGAGGTAATTTTATTAATTTTTGGAAAAAGAAAATTTGGTTTCGCAGAAACTGTTAGTTTCACATCAAAATTTGAGAATTTTGATTGTGATTATAAAGTTTTTCTTCCGATGTTACTTCCGTCTTCGCAGAATTCACCCTTTTTTGACCTCCGCTATGCGATCAGTAGGAGAATATTTTGTTCACTGCTTCGCCTTTAACTTTTTAAAATATGGCAAGGCAACACTCCACCAGATGGGATATGTTCATAGTAACACACTTTACTAAGGTGTGTTTTGCCGGGGTTTCCAACGATACCATGCTTAAAATATGGGGATCTCCAGCTTGCGTCTGATATTTTAATTTTTCGGATCATAAATAAATACAAATTTGCAATACAGAAATAAGGAAACTAGAATAATTTTGAGAATAAAAAAACTTATTTTTTTCATTTAGACACTTTTGATAATTTATCCAATTTTCTACGCTAAAATAAATTTGGAAGTAGATAATGAAGTATATACTGAAGTAAATAACGAGGTAGTTAATGAGTTAGATAATGAAGCAGATAATGAAGGAGATAGAGAAGTAAATATAAACGGAATAGATACATATTTTAGTCATCAAGGTGGACTCCATAAATTGATTAAAATAGATTGTTTCCTCAATCCAGAAGGACCTAGAAAATTAATCAAGAATAAAAAATTTATTGAAAAAGGGAAGAAATTATTAGGGAAAAACAATTTTATTGACAATTCTGTAATTAATGAACAACATCGACGTGCAGAATTAGAGGGAATTTCGTATATAAATATTTGTTTGAAATTTAAAAACGCGGGGAAATATAAAATTAGAGTATTAACACCACTATTTTGGAGGGAACCAAAAATGGAATTACATTTTTACATTAAAATTAATGAAGAAAATAAAACAAAATGTTTCTCGAAAAAATTCATAGATTATAAAAATCAAAATGAAATTGACCTTTTAAGTCAATTAAGAGAAGGCATAATGATTCATGTAATTAATGATAATCATGATTATTCGGATTATCATACAAAATTGGAGAAAGTTGACAAGTTTAATGAAGATGAGTTTGATGACCTTGATAATTATACTTATTTAAAACCTTCATTCAAAGAAGATTTTAAATTTGTTGAAGAGGAGAATAAAAATAAGAAAAAACGGAAAAGAAACGAGTGAAGAAAATTAAAAAAAGGAAAAAAATTTTTTTTGAATTATTTAAAAATTTCACTGTAAAAATTTTAGTTTTTTTTAAATCTGAAAAAATTTGAGCCCAGAATCCGGGTAAATTCGGAAAGAATCTATAAGCATTTTTTATTTGGAGTAAAACCAACAAAATCAATCAAGATAAATATAATATGACTCGATCCGGTAAGGTAAGAGAAATGCGAAAGCAAGTTTTCGGAGCCTAAAAATTCTTATTTATGTATAATATATTTTTTTATATATTATAAATAGGGCGTGTCAAAATATGCACGGAAAATCCCAAAATATGCGCATATATGTATATGCACCGAAAAAGGAGTAAATATGCACTAAAATAAACAAAATTTCTCAAAATATGCACAAGACATGCAGCAAAAATCAGTAAAAATGTGCTACAAAATTAATATTTTATGTATGTAAAAACGATAATTTAGTCTTTAAAATATCAATTTAGAGCAATTCTAAAAAATTTTACTGACTTTAAAGATATAAAAAAAATTTTTTAGATAAATTTTCCAAAAATATTTTTCGAAAAAATTTTTCTAAAAAAATTTTTTTTTAATTTTTGAAAAAAATTTTTATTTTGCTAAAAATAATTTTTTAACTAAAGTTTCTCAAAAAATGACAAAATATGTCCAAATTTTGGAAAAATATGCAAAATTTACCAAAATATGCATAGATATGCAAATATGCACAAAAATGCCGAAACATGCAAAAATATGCATTAAGAACCGGGGACTAAAGTGCTCGGACCTATGTAAAAACACTATTTTTGAGCGTTTCAGCTAGATGTCGGCAAAAAAACACCTGTTCGGTATTTGTCTCTCTTATGCTTATATGGTAAGTTACACACTCTCTCGTTCTGCGTCTATGCAAATACCGATAAATACCGATAGGAATGCACAGCGTTATAAATAACACCAGAGAAAGCAGTGCGGTACACAATTGACATTATCCACTTATTTAGTTCGGAGAACTTTTATATCGAATTCGAATACATTACTAGAATAAATATGGCACTAATAATTTTGACGCGTATAAACGAAAACAAAATTTAGATTTTTATTATTTGCACACAATTGACATTATCCACTTATTTAGTTCGTAGAACTTTTATATCGAATTCGAATACATTACTAGAATAAATATGGCACTAATAATTTTGACGCGTATAAACGAAAACAAAATTTAGATTTTTATTATTTGCACACAATTGACATTATCCACTTATTTAGTTCGTAAAACTTTTATATCGAATTCGAATACATTACTAGAATAAATATGGCACTAATAATTTTGACGCGTATAAACGAAAACAAAATTTAGATTTTTATTATTTGCACACAATTGACATTATCCACTTATTTAGTTCGTAAAACTTTTATATCGAATTCGAATACATTACTAGAATAAATATGGCACTAATAATTTTGACGCGTATAAACGAAAACAAAATTTAGATTTTTATTATTTGCACACAATTTTTTTTTAGTTCGTAGAACTTTTATATCGAATTCGAATACATTACTAGAATAAATATGGCACTAATAATTTTGACGCGTATAAACGAAAACAAAATTTAGATTTTTATTATTTGCACACAATTGACATTATCCACTTATTTAGTTCGTAGAACTTTTATATCGAATTCGAATACATTACTAGAATAAATATGGCACTAATAATTTTGACGCGTATAAACGAAAACAAAATTTAGATTTTTATTATTTGCACACAATTGACATTATCCACTTATTTAGTTCGTAGAACTTTTATATCGAATTCGAATACATTACTAGAATAAATATGGCACTAATAATTTTGACGCGTATAAACAAAAACAAAATTTAGATTTTTATTATTTGCACACAATTGACATTATCCACTTATTTAGTTCGTAGAACTTTTATATCGAATTCGAATACATTAATAGAATAAATATGGCACTAATAATTTTGACGCGTATAAACGAAAACAAAATTTAGATTTTTATTATTTGCACACAATTGACATTATCCACTTATTTAGTTCGTAGAACTTTTATATCGAATTCGAATACATTACTAGAATAAATATGGCACTAATAATTTTGACGCGTATAAACGAAAACAAAATTTAGATTTTTATTATTTGCACACAATTGACATTATCCACTTATTTAGTTCGTAGAACTTTTATATCGAATTCGAATACATTACTAGAATAAATATGGCACTAATAATTTTGACGCGTATAAACGAAAACAAAATTTAGATTTTTATTATTTGCACACAATTGACATTATCCACTTATTTAGTTCGTAGAACTTTTATATCGAATTCGAATACATTACTAGAATAAATATGGCACTAATAATTTTGACGCGCATAAACGAAAACAAAATTTAGATTTTTATTATTTGCACACAATTGACATTATCCACTTATTTAGTTCGTAGAACTTTTATATCGAATTCGAATACATTACTAGAATAAATATGGCACTAATAATTTTGACGCGTATAAACGAAAACAAAATTTAGATTTTTATTATTTGCACACAATTGACATTATCCACTTATTTAGTTCGTAGAACTTTTATATCGAATTCGAATACATTACTAGAATAAATATGGCACTAATAATTTTGACGCGTATAAACGAAAACAAAATTTAGATTTTTATTATTTGCACACAATTGACATTATCCACTTATTTAGTTCGTAGAACTTTTATATCGAATTCGAATACATAACTAGAATAAATATGGCACTAATAATTTTGACGCGTATAAACAAAAACAAAATTTAGATTTTTATTATTTGCACACAATTGACATTATCCACTTATTTAGTTCGTAGAACTTTTATATCGAATTCGAATACATTACTAGAATAAATATGGCACTAATAATTTTGACGCGTATAAACGAAAACAAAATTTAGATTTTTATTATTTGCACACAATTGACATTATCCACTTATTTAGTTCGTAGAACTTTTATATCGAATTCTAATACATTACTAGAATAAATATGGCACTAATAATTTTGACGCGCATAAACGAAAACAAAATTTAGATTTTTATTATTTGCACACAATTGACATTATCCACTTATTTAGTTCGTAGAACTTTTATATCGTATATCGAATTCTAATACATTACTAGAATAAATATGGCACTAATAATTTTGACGCGTATAAACGAAAACAAAATTTAGATTTTTATTATTTGCACACAATTGACATTATCCACTTATTTAGTTCGTAGAACTTTTATATCGAATTCTAATACATTACTAGAATAAATATGGCACTAATAATTTTGACGCGTATAAACGAAAACAAAATTTAGATTTTAATTATTTGCACACAATTGACATTATCCACTTATTTAGTTCGTAGAACTTTTCTATCGAATTCGAATAC